CACGTGGACGGAACCGGCGTCGAAGTGGGGCTCAGTATGAAATACCTGGTCCTCATCCTGGATGGTTCCTGGGTGTTCGTACCTCATTTCGAGGAAATAGGACGGCCACCGCGTTAGGTGGTCTCCTGCCCAATATCGACGGTCCAAACGCCAAGGTCAGGCGGCTGTACACAAATGTGGTGCACAGCATGGCCCTCTACAGGGCCCCCGTCTGGGCGGACAAAACGGTGGGCAACCGCCGCATCAAGTCAATGAAGCGGCGATCTAAGAGATGGATTGCAATCCGACTCGCCCGCTGCTACTGGACTGTGTCCCACACAGCCGCCACGGTCCTCGCGGGGTTATCCCTGCGGAGCTTTTTGCGCAAATGTACGCGGAAACGTACGAGCGCATTGGGGAGTTCCGCTGGAACGATCGAGTTGAACTCACCGTGACCTTGGCAAAGAAACAGGCCCGGCAAAAGGCGATCCTCCGCTGGAAGCTCCAGCTGGGAGGTCCCCAAACGCCGGGCCGGCGGACCGTCGATGCCATCCGGTCCTGTCTCCAAGAATGGATAGACAGGGCCCGAGGCGGTTTATTGTTCCCTCTGGCGCAGGTGCTCACCGGACATGGTTGTATCGGTGACTACCTGTGCCGGATCGAAAGGGAACGCACGGCACGCTGCCACTACTGTGCAGCAGGCCGGAACTCCGCGCAGCACACACTGGCCGAGTGTCCAGCGTGGGCTGACCAGCGCGGAGCCCTGGTCTCAGTGGTAGGAGCATATCTGTCGCTCCCGGCCGTAGTTCGCGCGATGGTCGCGAGCGAGCAAAAATTGAAGGAGGTGTCTTCCTTCTGCGATCAAGTCATGCGGCAGAAGGAGGACGCCGGGAGGGTGAGGAGGGGGAAAGTTGGAAGTGAGGTGAAATGTTTCCCCTTCAAACACGATGAGGAAGAGGACGGAGGCGGCGGTGGGGAGAGACCGAGGTGAAGGAGACGAGCCTTCCCGGGTCCCCATCGCTGAAGAAACCCGCCCACCGTAAGAGGGTGGAGTAGGTCTCCGCCGGGGGTGGACACTAATTTGAGACCGCCTCCAGAATAATGCGGGGCTAACTAGTAGTCAGGAGCCCCCCAAAAAAGGGTCGAACGGGAAGGGTT